CTTAGCCAAAATAATGTCTTTTATTTGCTCCATCTAAAATATTTTCTGACATTTATTCATTTCAGGCTGTTCTAGGAAACATCTGTACAGCAAATGTGTCTTAGACATACAGCTTGGATGAAAGAGATTTCCTTTTGGACTGGACAGCCTGAATAATGACCTCTGCAAATAAAACAAATGATTGATACTTGTGGTATTACTCACCACAGTACTATCTGCTGTTTCTCCCCTGATTTTTTAATGAGATTTAAAAGCATTTGAGTGAATAACCCCAGCCTTTTCATTAATTTAGCTAGCATGAAAAGCTGTGGGGCCTATGTGGCAGGTGCTGTGAGTTAACAATGGGTGTACTGTTTAATCCAAGGGAAACAGAGTTTAAAACAGCCATGAATAAAAGAGTATGGGACATTTTATGAGGTCAGGAGAAGCATTTTAAATGAGGAGGTGCAAAGAGAGACCAGCTACAGAAACATTCTTTCTTGTTACACTCACTTAGACATGAGAAAATGCCTTATAATTTGCTCTGCAGAAGATAAAGAAATCAAAGTGGAATATGTAAATACAAGAAGTTTGTTGGTACACAGAGGATCACTTCTAACTTGCAGGAGCAGTTGGCTACTGTTCATCAGGTAATGGGCTATTCTTCTAGACCATATTCCTTACCAGGCTTATCTCTTTGAAATTCAGAGAAACACAAGGAGACAGTCAAGCAAGTGCAATAGCATTTCAACATAGGGAAAAATGGTATGTGATTTGCAGGTTTGTTTGTTTTCAAACACTGACTGACTCAGTTACTGAGAGCACTAATTAAGCAATCAGTGATTGCAAGTTTAGAGCAGAGAGCAGAAATTTTGAATCAAAATCACAAACAAACTTTCTATAAAATACCTGAAAGTGGTTTTGTTCTCATTCACTTTATACAATTGCAGTAGGTCCAGGGTCATTTGTGCCACTCCTCACCCCTTTAGGATAGAGTTTCAATGGTATAAATGGGCCTTTAGAGACTTGGAGACAGATGGAGAAGAGTACAGTTTCAAAATTGAATTAAATACCTTTCAGTTATGAAGCACAGATGTTCAGGGTCAGGAACACACAAGTGTAACACTGCTATAACGTGTCAGACTACTGTTCCTGCTGTTGGAATACCCTAACCATTTGCAGGTGATTCAGAAGAAGGTGTGGAAACACCAAAAGGAGAATTACATTATAGTTTGTACTATTGGAGAGCTCTTGCTCTAAGTTTTTACATACCTTACAGTTTTTTACTTTAAATTTAAATCATTAAGGAATGCAATGATGGATGTTCATGTTATTCATTTATATGGCCAATGGTTTTTCAAGTCTTGCAAAGGTCTTGGGCCAAGTGATAACACATGGGAATAATTTTCACACAGTAACCATGAACTCTCTCTCTTTTTTTTTTTTTTTTTTTTTTGTGTGTGTGTGATTAAGAGCTGTACCTTCCAACTTCCTGAAAAGTCCCCTGTTTTTGCTTACAATAAATTACTTTAGTTCCCCTATGTCATTATTTTAAAAATGTTCTTAATGTCATCTTCTACTTCATTTCTCCTCTAGCACATAATTCCCATTTTGATTTTTTACTACTGCAGTTCAGCACTCCTTTTGTCTTCTTAATGTTGCCTTTACATAACTGGGGAATCCCATGCAAACACAGTGATGCTGATCACGTAACATGCTTGTGGATTTTGTGGTTTCTCCAATTCTGCTTTTAGGCTGCCAGGAGCCTCTTGCAGATGTATTTTCGCAAAGCACTATACAAGCTAGTAGGCAGTAATGCTAATGTGCCACGTAAATTTCTGTGGGCAGTCTCACACGAGCATCCATTTGGCATGAGTCAAAGTTTTAGGGATAGATGTCTATGGATACCTCCTAACTGGGGCAGTTTCTTTGCTCTCCACATGCTTTTCTTTTACTTTTCTCATACTCTGTATATTTTCTCCTTGTTTCTTTCCTCTTCCCAACTCCCTATTCTCCCTTCTCCTATTTCAGTCAGGTCCACGTGAGAAATTTCAGCCGGCTTTTGGAGTGTGAGCTTCAGCTGATATACCTAAGCATCCTGAAGTCCTATGAACACCTCAATTTTCTTTTTTGTTTTCTTCCTGCTTAGGGGGAAAGGGGCTGGAGGAGTCAGAGCTCTTTGTCATGTCATGTAACAACACACTGCTACATTCTGTCACTGACATGCTACTTCAGGACAAGAAGGGGGGCACAAGGATGATCAAAGGGCTAGAGCGTCTCTCCTGTGAAGAAAAGTTGAGAGAGTTGGGCTTGCTTAGCTTGTAGAAGAGAAGGATGTGGAGAGATCTCATTGCAGCAAGAGAGAGAACACTTTTTTACATGGTCTGATACTGATGTGACAAGGGAAAATGGCTTTAAACTAAAAGATGGCAGATTTAGGTGGGATGTTAGAAATAAATTATTTACTCAGAAGGTAGTGAGGAGCAGGTTGCTCAGAGAAGCTGTGTATGGCACATCCCTGGAGGTGTCAAGGGCAGGTTGGGTGAGGCCCTGGGCAGCCTGAGCTGGTGCATGGCAACCCTGCCCATGGCAGGGGGTTGGAACTGTGGAGGCTTTAAGTTCCCCTCCAAGGTAAGCCATTCTGTGATTCTTTCCCCCACTATTTAAATCTTATTTCAAAGCCTATTCACAAAAAAACAGGCAGGCCACCTTCCATGTGACCATGGAGGCTGTGAGCAATGCCCAAGAATGATTCCACCAGTGGAGAAAGCTGGTGAACTTTACCATCAAAGGGTTTGAACCACTCGCACAGAATCATAGAATCGTTTGACTTGAATGGAACCCTTTCTAAAGACCATCCGGTACAACTCCCCTGCAATGAACAGGGACTATCCCTGTTCGTACAGCCAGATCATGTGCTCAGAGTCCCATCCAGCCTGGCCTTGAGTGTTTCCAGGGATGGGACATCCTGTTCTCAGGGTAGGTTGTTCCCATGCCTCACCACACTTATTGTAAGAAACCTCTTTCATTAAATTGGTCTAATCCTCCCCTCTTTTAGTTTGAAACCATTTCTCTTTGTCCTATCTTAGTCGGCCCTACTAAAGAGTCCCCTTCTTTCTAAAAGCCTCCCTTTAGACACTGAAAGGTTGCTATCAGGTCTCTGCAGTTAGCTAGGGAGTCACTTCTAGGGTCTTACCCTAGCTGCCAAACTCACAACACCCACACACAGGAACATGCAGAAAGGTGTGATTTATTGAGTGTACAATAGGCACAAAGGAAAAGATGCTGTTCCTGCTTTGAAAGGTCTCTAGTGCCCTGGATCACTGTCAGGCTGAAGCCTGCCTACCGCTCTTTCCATCCTCCTCAGAGCTCTAGACGACTTTCCTCCAGCATTTTGCCAAAGGTCTCGTTTCACGACCTTCCAGCATTGGTACGAGCCCCCAAATAATAATAAAAACACGTCGCGGAGGGATGTCGCCCCTTTTTTCCTCGAAGAATGGAAAAGCGCCCAGGGCACCGCGGCCACAGGGCCTCACCTCGGCGGCCCCCACGCCCTTTCCCAACAGCCGCGGGGGAGGGGAAGGGAGGGGAGGTCGCACGTTCCCCTCTCCCCCTGGCGGGCCCCAGCGGCCGCCCCTCACCGCGGCCGCGGGGCGGGGAGCGCCTCGCGGCGGGGCCGGCGGCACCTCGGGGCGCACCGGCGGCGGCGGCCTCGCATGCGCGCAGCTGGGCGGGCGGCGGGGGAGGAAGCGGGAGGGCACCAAATTCAAATCGTTGCTGAGAAGGGAGGGGAAAATATACGGGGGAAGGAGGCAAGCCCAGGGGGAACGGAGAGGAGCGGAGGAGGAGAGAGGGAGGAGGAGAGTGGGAGGGGAGTGTAGAAGGCTCTAAGGGAAAGCGGCAGAGGCCAGAGAGGAGGCACGGCGGACGGCGGGGAAGGCAGAGGTGTCAGGGGAAGGACAGGGCGGCTTCGGACACCCTCGGCAGCAGCGCGGGGCAGCCGCCCGCCCATCCGCCCTCCCCGCCCGCGCGCCGCGGCACCATGGTGGACAGGGGCCCCTTGCTGACCTCGGCCATCATCTTCTACCTGTCCATTGGGGCGGCGATCTTCGAGGTGCTTGAAGAGCCGCACTGGCGCTCGGCTACCGACGACTACAAACGGCAGAAGACGGAGCTACTCAAGCAGTTCCCCTGCCTGGGCCAGGAGGGGCTGGACAAGATCCTGCAGGTACGGTGGGGAAAGGGGTACCAGGCAGGGTGGCAGGTGTCGGCGGGCGTCCGGGGCGGTACGCAACGGGGCAGCGCGGGGCTGCCCGCGGGGAAGCCGGCGGCCGTCCCCTCCTCGCAAAGCGCAGCGGGTCCCTGAAACTGTCCCGGGAGCACGGGGAACGATCTCCGCCCGCCTTCACTGCTTAATGGCAGAGCGATCAGGTAGGTCCCTGCTCCTCATCCCCGCAATAAAAGAGCGTGGGGTGCCTCGGGGTGGGCGCTCCTCGCGCGTGGGGATGACGAGGTGGCCGGGTGGGTGCTCCCGCTCCTGTCCGGCGCGTTGGTTGTGAATGCAGCTCTTGTTTCAGCACCCGGAGTGGTTTCTACTGCCTCAATGGACGTTGTGTGTGTGGAAAGAGTAGGTGAAGCCAAGTCTTGATCCTTTTCAGTTTGGTCTGGATTAGTATTTATTTTATTTTTTCTCGCCTTTTTTTTTTTTTCTTTTTTTTTTCTTTTTTTTTTTTTTTTTTTTTTTTTTTTCCGTAGTGAGTGCTCTCGTTGTGAGGAAAACACGTGTGAGGGTCTGAGCAGAGGTCCGCGAGGTCAGTCAGGCTGCAAGCCTGAAGGAGAGGTGCAGACAGGTCAGAAATGAACGCCTTGCACGCAGGGATGCTCACTGTTTCTGCGCTGAGTTTCTACTTTGGGCGAGTGACTGAGAGTTTCTGAGCCATAAGGAGCTGATAATTGTCTCATTTCCTATCTGGCAGAATGCTTCTTCAAAACTAATCATTAATCGATATCACGTAGTAAGTGTCCGAGTAGTATAAACTTAGAGCCTTTTGGTGGATGCGGTGTCGATTGAAACATTGTGGCAAGCAGAGGCGAGCCACGGAAAATAGGCTGCCCAGATATGAGGGACTCTGGTGGTGAAAAGGAGTCCCTCAGGACTTTATTTCAGAAATGCTTATATTGACTAGATCTTATGGTCATCGTGCTTTGGGCTTTTGTTTTTTTTTCTTCTCAACTTTATTCCTAAAATTTACAAAAAGTCTACTAAAATACTGGGGAAATGACTCATTCATTCTGTTGGCATAATCAGTTTTGTGCAAGCTTTGAAGAGATATGGTTCTTGATGTTATAAGTTTGTGGTTTAACATTTATTCCTTCAGCTGGTGACTGTTTTGTGTCTGTTTCAGATAGAGCTTTCTGTTGGTTGTGTCCTTACAGTTTCTGTCTTAGTGCTTTCTGTTAACTACAGTTTTGTAGTATACAATGAAACAGTGAATGGAGGCTTGAAATTGTGAAGGGATGCTGGAAAATGAAAGACATGCATGCTTTGCTGCACTAAAATCTTAACTGAAATCTTACTCTAGGTTATCTATTCCCAGGAGAAGAACCTCATCTGGATTGGGGTGTGCCTTAAGCCTGCAGTGTTTAACTTGCTGCTGATATAATTCAGAATCTAGATTCTGGCTCAGTTTAGAATAAAACTCACGCTGGTATGAGGGAATTATTTAGCTAGTGTTTTTCTGTGACCCTTACCACAATTAATCCTGTAGCAGTAGAAAGCTTTTTTCTAAAACAAAAAGACTAGGAAAAAAAATTCTAGGGCAGATGGACCACATGAGATAATGCATTGTAGAGTGTGAATGGGTGCGGAGTTGATGAGAAGAAAAGCAGCATAAGGCAAACTATAGGCAGATCAAAGTAATTGGTTTGAGTACCTCTGCACACCACAAAGTGGAGGAGGGACTTCCCTCTTCAGTGTGTTGGCTCCTGGTGATATTCTTGTATTCCTGTTTTGCCTCTGTACTACTTCCAATTATACCTTAACTTTCCCTGTCCGATCTTGCTGGTCTGATGATCCCTTGTAGATATTCTGCTGTCATCTTCAGCCCAGTTTAGCTGAAATACAAATCTTTGCTTGCTCTTTCACGCTGACTGGTGACTGGAAACCATACTATTTGCTTTATTCTGGATTTGTAGTTTTGTTGCTGTTCTTATTCAGTATGAGAAGTGATTGGAAGGAGAGAAGTAGCATTTCCTACAGAGGAGGGTGACAGGGTGAAACTTAGTCCAGCTGAAGTTAAGAGGGGGAAAATAAACAAGAAGTCATAGAAGGTAATAATGGTTTCATCTTGAATGAGCTGTAAAGTATACTGCAAATAGTATTTGTAATGGTTATTTGTTGACCTCTATCTGTGCTTTTTCTGTTGGGTTTTTATGATTCTTTAAAATGTTACAAATCTCTGTTTTCTTTTGGCAAATCCTGGCCATCTTGCACTCATACAAAGCCTCCAAATATAGTGTTTTACAATTTGTCATCACTGACTTTAAAATACGCTTTTTTTTTTCTTTACCCACACTTTTCTTTTGCTCCACTGAGCCACTTCCATGGACTCTTTGAACTAGTTCTTAGAATTTTGCATGACTTGACTTATTTCCCAGCTTTTGTTTTCAGTTTCACAGCCTCCAGTTCATCTTAGAGCTTTTCCTCTCACTCTGCTTGTGGTCCCCGCTGATGCTCATGTGACTCTTCACAGCCACACTGAACTCTTCTAATTACTTGTCTGATATTCTCATAGGATGCACATAGGATAAAGTTTTTCAGCAAATAGAACCATAGATAAAAAGTTAAATGGTTGTTAAAATGCAAAGATGCCAATAAATGTTTAAGTTGAACTAACAATACCAATTTTGTTTGCAGAAGCCAGCTGAAAAGTGACAAGGACTGACTTAATCAGAGACAGATCTCTCTGCTGCCCTTGTTCCCCACCCAGGTTAGCTTGTGTGTTCACCTCAGCCTAACATGAGCTGTAAGTGGAGTGGAAGTTCTGTATGGAATGGATGCAAAGTTAAATGTGTAGGGTGATCTTAACTGTTCAAAAAAAAATGATGAGGTTGTCGGCACAGGTTTTCAATTCATATAGAGAGTGGCACGTTTGTACCTTCAATATGAGTGATTCTTAAGGGGATTGTATTTTGTCAAATACTCTCTAGGGCTTGTATTCTGTAATAGAAGATTTCACAACACCTGACTACTGTAGAAATACACTGCAATAAACTTTATTGAAATACATAACACTTTCACAAATCTTGTAAGATGAGAGTTTTAGGATAGCTAGAAGGTATTTCTTCCCTAATCCTAAATACCTAAGAATAAGCTTAAAAGTAGCATCTAGCAGTCTTATGTGAAGAATCTATTTGCTGTCAAGTATTATAAGTGCCATGAAAGTATTTCCTAAACTCTTACTGGAGTAATGCTACTTAAACCCTTATGTTATAAGTGTTTGACTGGAGTGTGTGTAGGCTGTTGTATAGAACTCTACGGCTTTGCCTTGGCTTGCTGCTATGGCTCAGAGTCCTGGGACACTTTAGGAGGAGGAAGAGAGAAGGCTGTGAGACCCACAGTGATGGCACCTTCTCTTACCCTCCTATACGAATGAGTTTTGGATGCAAAGCAAACGAAGAGTAATGTGATCGTTTCCCTCTTCTCTAGTTCCTTACTTTTACTCTTTATTGCTCCATCCTGATTGTGAAACATCAGCTTAATGATAAAGGAGCTATTCATGCAAGGAGGAGCTCTCTTGACCCTCATACCACTATTTATATGAGCAAAGGTTTGCAACACTGAACTACATCTTGTTTACTAGGAAATCTGTTTTGCTGGTCCACCATAGTCATCAAGGAAAGAAATGCTTTCCACTGATAAACCTCAAGGCTAGTGAAAAGAAAGGGAATAATTTAAAGGTAAGTGAAAATGGTTACTTTCTAAACAAAGTAATAAAATGAGAAGAGAAACTAGCTAAGCTCAGGAAAAGCAGGCAAACTTACAAGAGCAAATAACTGAGGTCTTTATTTGAAAAGCATGCAGGACTGTAAACTGTCCTGACAAAGAGCTTTAGAAACTTGAATGTTTAGACTTAAAGCCCAGTGCTGTGAACAAATATTTAGAAGATTCTTAAGGAGAGCTTCAGCTAAGATATACTTGGCACACAGGAGGATTATTCTAAAGGAAATAACCTCAAGTGGCTCAATAGTGGTTTCTCCTCTGATTTTTTTTTTTTTTTAATTCTTATTTTTTCCAAGCCAGGATGTCTTCTCCATTTGCAAATACTGACAGGTGCACTTCTGAATTCAAATTTTCTAAAACCTTGTGTTAAGTTTTAAATGCTTTTCATGAGTTCAACATTCAATTAAGGGGCCGCACCTTTTCCTTATTGTTAGTAGAGTGAGTTGCTCTCCAATTTAAAGTTAGTATAGGTTTTTTTTTTTTTTCCCCTCAATAATCTTTACTTTCCTGTGTTCATGAAGAGGTGAATAAATACAATATGGAAGATTCTAGACAACTAGGGCTTGTTTGGTAGTCTGTTTACTTCCTGATTCCTTCTACCTAACGTATTGAAGGTAGAGGAGACTTAATTGGAGACTGAATTCCATAGCTTAAATGCCAGACAGTCTGTCCTTTTGCATGATCTGAAGAACGTAAAAATGAGCAACAACCAGACAAGGACAAAGCAAATGATGAACAGCAAAGACATTAACAGCAATACCTAATACTTCCCACCTAACGAGTTGACAGCACACATGAGGCTCATGCCTGAGAAATAGCAATTGGTAGATGTTTACAAATGTGTAACTTTAGTTCTGCACTCTCTTTCAGCAGAGAGAAATGGAGATTAAAATATAGGATCGCTGTCCACAGTGCCTCTGTGGCATCTCAGTCTATTGATTATAGATACTGCTATGGCAGCATTAGATAAGGAAACTTGAGGACAGGCAGTGCTACTTTATACCATAGCTTTTTTCTGTGTGCACCTTCACGCAAAGTCATGTGTAACCAGACATGCTTTCCTGTCGCATTTCATCTGTCCCTGCCCCCTTTTCTGTTTAACCTTTATATTGTTTAAACTTTCTTGGAACATAGTTAAACAAAGCTGATAGTGCATACGCAGCAACTCTCAGCTGATGGAGCAATAGCACTTCATCAGAAGTTCTGATTTTCCTGCTATGGGCTTAATCCTTGAATGCTTGTAGTATATTGTCCTGTTACTTTGGGGACAGAATGTTTCTACTGCCTGACACGTTACCTTCTGCTATTAGGTGTGTTTTCTAGCAAGCTTTGCTCCAGAGATAATGGTATATGCAAGTAGACCTGCAGATTATTAACAGCCTGTTGTCTTTAAGACCATAAAACCCCTGTATATCTTGTTATTGCAATACACCTTCTTCAGCCAGAGAAAATTGAGTCTAATTATGACTTTGTGTAGATTTCCATTTTAAAATAAATTGTTGCTTTTCTTATTAATATTAATTATACAAAATGAATTGTTTTGGATAGTGTTGACCTTTAAAACAATCGCATTTCATACTGGTACTATGAATAGACGTTAACATATTAACTTGCAAACAGAAGCAAGCTGGATTGCAAACGGCAGTCAATAGTTTGATTAACAGGGAAGCTATAACCAGAAATATGGACATTCGTATCTTATTTTTATCTTAGCTGTGTTCTGTGTTCAGATCTCATGATAGTGGTCTTGAAAGCAGGATAGTATTGTGATAACTGTTTCCCAGATTGAAAATGAAATTTTACATTTTCGGGTCTCCTTAACAATGGCTTAAAAGAAAAATGTTGTGGTTTGTTTTTTGTTTGTTTGTTTTTTTGAGGTAAAGTTTGTCATAAGTTCCATTGGTATAATTGTCTAGTAGTAAACTAGCATTACAATCTTAGTGGGGTTGATGAAACATGATAATATCTATATATTTTTTAAGCCACTGGGATAATCTTTTAACAGGTGTTCTCCTGTTAAAACTGGGAACAAAGTGCTCTAAAACCCTGTCTACATTGGCAGGTAGTGCAGGCCAATAGGAATATACTTAGAAAACAAAACTACTGGTGTTAAGGACATGATGATTGCTATATTTGCAGGAACTTTTATTTTCTGCTGACTCTCATGTGATCCTATGGATTTAATGCCTATGAGTAAGTAGCTCGTGTCTTAGATTTCTTCATTGAAGACATCTTCAGGTTTAGCTTAGTCCAGGATTAGTTCAGCTCATTAAGCTCTGAGTCTGCTCCCTAGAAGTAAACAAGATACGTTAATAGGGGACAACTGGGAGAGTTGGACTTTTGTGTATTCTTCATTTAAATTAAAATACCACTATGCTATCATCGTAATGTTGTGCATGTTGCTACAAACATCCACAGGATATCTACGCTTAAAGTCAGATTAAAATCCTGAAATATAGTATGCAGTATGTACTCCTCATCTTCACTAGCTCTGTTTGTTGAAGGGATGGCAAAAATTTGAAGTCATAACTGTCGTCCTTTGTGTTCTGTCTTCTGATTTGGGTTTTTCAACAGATGAATCTAGTATTATGGTATCTTTTCTCCAACACACAAAACACCAGCACGGAACCTTGGACTTGCAGTTTGTGTTCTGTTTTTATCCTTCTTACTTTATCACATCTCTGTATTAGAAGCCTTAGATATTACAGTAATAATTATGTACTTACCAACATTTTAATTGTAGGCAGGAGAGATCCCTCCTAGGCATGGCTTACCCTAGCGGCTCTATTTACAGTCAAATCAGTAAGGAAATTACCTTTTGTTCTTGTGTTATGTGAATTCCAGTGGATAAAAGGAAATATTGGGTGTGAAATAGCTTCTGAAATGTTTTAGGCTTCAACTTCATACACCGTTTTCTTAAGAGGAAGAAACATGAGCACTGAAAAGGGATTAAGAAACCTAGTAATATGTATTATATATTATAGCCTCTACTGAGTCTGAAGTTACGTTCCTTTTCTACTGTGTGCATCTGCAGTGCTTCTCATGATTGGCTTGTTTCTAACTCTTAATGTGGGATTGGTTGTTGCTGCTGCCTCTCTGAGGGATTACGTTTCTGCTTTAGCCAAATGGTAGAAGCAAATTGTGATTGAGCAATCTGACAAATAGTAAATTGACTTTCTGTGCCAGCATCTTGCAAATGTTGTGTAAGCAAGTTCCAGCTGCCCAGAAACAAAACCTGTGTGACATTTCCAGGTTGCAGCAGGTACAAAAAGAAAGTCCCAACTGAACCTATAGTGGATGTCTGAATTCTGATCCTTCTTATCATCTAGGATGTCAATTCCTTAATGTTAGTTTGGATTCTAGAGCAAGGCATGAGGTTGTCAGATGATGCTGGCTATCAAGTGACGTATCTAACAGAACTTGAAAATAATATTGCAACGGGCTGTCAAGGTCCTGAGGTAGATAGCATAGTCATCTGTTTGGTTTTGTTGTTGTTTTAGTTGGTTTGTGTTGTGGTTGGTTGGTTTACTTGTTCTGGTGGCTTGGCAAAAATGTCAAATTCAGTGATGACTTCTGTGCATGACTTCTAGTACTCATATTGCTGCTCCTTTTTTGCACTCCCAACCTACTCTAAGCGAGTAGGAAAATCTTTGAAGGAAAGTTGCTCAAGAATCATGTGTGGTCTCCTATAAGAGAAACAGCAGCTTTAAATGTTTTTTCTAGTGTTTGAGAGAAGTGAGGCTGATGAGTCTCCTCCAAGTACCCAAGGAACAGAGGAGGTATCTAGAGCCAAGCAGCTGCATAAGGAAAAGTGATATAATCAAACTTGGTTTCTCCTTTAGCAGTCCTGCTGCACTATCCTACTACAGATGCAGCTGTTACAGTTTTTACTAAGTACCTTTACAGACCGTAATGCAAATATGCTAAAATCAAGTTAAGTAGTTGGATTATGATAACGTGCCAGGTAAGTTAGAATTTCAACCTTCAGGCCTGTGTAAGTGGTGTGTACGTGACTGCAGAATCATAGAGGGCAATTCTGTAATCAAAGTTTGCCTTGTTGGCACAAGGGTTTTTGAAGGGCATTGGAGTTCATGTTTAGAAAATCACTCTTTCTCATTGGTATCAGTGCAGTCTGAAAGCTTTGCTGAGTGATTGCTGTCAGTTTGCCCTTTTAGAATAATACTCTGTGTTTCCAACTTTTTTTCCCCCAAAATTTTTGAGGTGGAGGGCAAGAGAAGGATAAGGAAAAATTTTGAAATTACTTCTATCACAGCAGCGTGGCAGTAGTGAATTTTATTCTGTTGCCATGCAATTTGCTGTGGTAGCACTAGTATCTTTGCTGACTGAAGCTGCAGTATGACCACAGTTTTTTATTAAGTTGGTACGTAGTCTGTGCAAGGTCTTAAAGCTATCAGCTTGACTGGTGACATGAACACAGATATGTTACATTTAAGGAGTAAAATAAAGAGATAATTCACACTTTGAGAGTGCCTTGACTTTATTTGGGTGGATTTTAAGAATGCTTCTTCAGCTCTATTACAGTATAGGCAGTTGATAGTTTGGACAGATGTGCCGTCAGCTGTGGTTTTGTTTCCTGCTGAGAATAGCTTCACACTGGTTGTTGAATAGATTCTTACAGCTGAATCCTGTGCGTCTTTCTTACGAAAACTGTCTCACTTATTTGAGGTAACTGAAGATTCTTTGTGGTTTTAATGACTTTCTGAGTATTTTGGATGCCAGGCAGCTTTTAAGGCACAGGTTTCTCTACTTAGCAAAGTGCAAGAGCTTCCTCTGACTCCAGCTTCTAAGGAAAAGGTAATAGATGCCTGCTAAACAGGGATGACAGCTGCAGGAAATCAAAGATAGAAAAGTAAGCAGTGTAATGAACAGAAGGCAGCAATGATAGTGCTTCTGCCAGCTGAGCCTTCTTCCTGCAATACAGTAGCAAGATGATAGT